GCTGAAGGAGGCGCGGTTTCCAAGTCAGTCGGGCAGGAAGTTTGTTCACTCTCCCTCTGCTCAGCTGCACAACAAACACTGGACTGAAGATGCTGTAAAAGAACTTTGCTTTCCCTGCAGAGCTGAGGGACATCTTCTCGCTGCTCCTTCTCAGAAGTTATGTAAAAAACCTGGACCGCACCATTGTAATGGTCGCATTGGAACTGAGCTTTCTGGAAGAAATCACAGACTGGGCTCTAAAGCTCAGAGAGGAATGAGTCACCCTTCTCATACAAGAGTGGCTGACCACGCGGAAATGCTCTGGCCATCGTGTCTCCTTGGATTTTAATTCACACAGGAGTCACACACCATGCTCTAAATACTGCTTGTAAAACACCATCACTCCCCCAGAAGAGACAGTCGACCCATAGCTTCACACCTCCTAAGGACTACTTCTAACACCTTCTCTGTAAAGCAAATACCAGCACTGGAAGCTCATGGAGGTCTCCGGCTTTGGTGGGCACTGCCATCACCATCTTGACCATCATGCAAACCAGAGGGGGAGAAGCAGGGCCTGCAGGGCCAGCATCGGGTAGGGCTGGCTCATGCCAATCTGGCACAGACATCAGTGCGCCCTCCCTGGAAGTGTCCAAGGCCAGGCTGGACAGGGCTTTGAGCAGCCTGGTCTGGTGGGAGGTGTCTCTGCCCATGGCAGGGGGGTTGGAACAGATGAACTTTAAGGTCCCTTCCAACCCAAACCATTCTATGATTCTCTGAACAGACATGCTCCTGGCACCATGACCTGGCAGGCAGATTTTGCCACATGACCACAACATCTTCTGTACATGCAGGATGTCTTGCCATGACTTCTAGTGGAGCTTCAAATGTCAAAAGAGGTTCATGCCCTATGCAAGGCCGGATGCCCCCATTTGATGGTCTAGAGAAAAGAGAAGTAAAACTATCCACAAAAGGGGAACATGGAATAAGGAGGTGGCAAGACAGGCTTGAAAGTGGCACAAAACTGTATCTCAAGGTTTCCTTTCCTTGATTCCCCTCCTGAGACTTCAGTTTGGGCTCTTAAGAGCAGGGGAGCATGTGGTTACTTTTGTCTCTGAACATCCACCAAGAGGAGGAGAAGGGAGTCTCCTGCAGGCAGATGTTTAGCTGCAAGCAGAACTCAACGGGACCAGTCCACAAAATCTGGATCCCAACAAGCAGGCTGCAGGATCCTGGGGATCTCACAACCCACAGCCAGAACAAGCTGTATCCAACCGGAGCTTGTGTCACTTCAGGCAAAAAGAGGTGAAAATGTCAGCCAATTAAGCTCTTTCCACCTACACCACATGAGCTCCAAAAGCCAAACAGGACCCCAGCAGAGCTCTCTGGGAAGTCTCACTTCAGGAGATCTGAACACTTAATGTTAAAATGTTACAAAAAACAGAACTGCTGCGTGGGTGCCCCACAGCCACCCTGTGAATATTAATCACTTGTGCATACTGAATATAATTGTGTCTCCAGTATTAAAAAGCTCTCCTTCTCAATTAGCGGAAAGCGACTCCCACAGTTCAATTTGAGGTTTAAATCTGGAAGGGAGAGGTTTTCCTTTTTTTTTCTTTAAGGTAAACCATGTACTTGTAAAGAACTCACAGATAAGGCACTATAAGAAAACATGTATGGCTGTGATTCTGTGATACATTCAAGGACGTGTTTTTCCAGTAGCAGTGATCAGCACATCACAAAAATTACAGCTACTGACAGCTTCTAACAAATGTAGCCCAACAAATGTAGTACAATGATGTACATTGAACATGTGTGGCTGGATTCAGGAATCAACACGAGGGCACAGGCCCATTGCTTAAAGCTCAGACCCTGCACTTGGTGTCTTCTGCTTTCAGGGACCTCTTTAGGAACTAGACTATTCAAAAGACACCTGCAAGTGACCATCAGGATCTCCCAGCACTTCTAGCACCAGGGCAGACGAGACAGAAAATTCATGCAAATATCCCAGCTACGACTTTCCAAAAAACTGAAAAAACCCCCATTGACAAATACAAACCCAAATTCTGATGAGGACGGGCAACAGTCATCTGTGCAGAAATCCCGCTCCTGGCTATGAGGCTCAGTTAGGTGATGTGACTTTGAGCAAGGGAGCTACCTCTGCACTGTTAAATAACACAGGGGCCCTGGCCTGGAAGCCAAGAGGAAAATCTGTGTCCAGAACCACATTACACTTGGCCCTGGGTCACCTTTGTGTGGTACCCCCGTATCCCTAAGACATAATTATTACTTTGTGGGATCAGGATTCGGGGAGGCAGTTCAAAAGGCTGAAAAGAACATGAAAGTTTTGCATCAGTTCACTTAATTGTTTTTATAGCACGAAATCTTTTACGGCACGAGGACACATAGGGCAGGCTCTGGGGCAGCGCTCAAGGTGATCATCAAGTGTGTAAAGCCCAATGAGAAAGTGTTGAGAGACTGGGAAGGGCAGAGGGAAACAAAATCCTCCAAATTGTGCCCAAGTACTGGCTGGCACAGACCAACACCGTGCCAAGGAGCACATTAAGAGCAAAGCAGCGAGGCCATCGGCTCTACGCCCCGGCCTCCATCCACTGTCTCAGATGGTTACTGCTGGGGTAACCATCGCACTGTACTTCACACAGAGGTGTCGAGCAAAGATGAGCCAAGTGGTGACGTACTGTCGGACTGGGGATCTGGTACAGAGACATCCAAAGCCACCTAAACAGGCTGACCAAGGAACTAGTCCTTTTACTTTGTGTGCAAATTCGGATTTCCTTTTTGCTCTATTTATCAAACACATAATGGTAGTCATTTCATTAAGCTTGCTAAAGGTAGGCCTGGACTAAGATGACTTCACTGCTAACAAGTATCTTATACTTACTGTATATGCCGCTAGGATCAAAGACTTGGAAGGAATTTTGACCTTTCCAAAGCTTTAATTTTGTTGAATTTATACCTGGTAGTAATCGCTGCTGAGACTCCTTATAGCCACTGTCTCCAAGCTCAGGAGGTACATCTAGTAAAACCAGCCCTACAGAGCGATTTCCCTGGGTCTAGCTGAAGTCTCGCAAAATGCTACGTAAATTCATGACTTTCACTAAATGCCTCAGAGGAATCTTCTGAATGCCAAGATAGGCACCAAGAAGAAAAACAAATGCTCTGGTGTTCACCAGCGACACTGTTCTCTTTTTCTTAACTACACATGAAAGAGGGCTGGAAGCAGTGGTTGTACCTTACAATCTTCATGAAAGCTGTTATGTTCAAGGCTGCCAAATAATGTCCCTTTTTTGGCTTCTTCTTGTTGTTCTCTTGCTTTTTATCCTGCACTGCCTTGATGGAGCACCAAAGGGTTTTCTGCATTTGCACAGTAAAAATACCTCCAAAAATAAATAGCTGAGTTTGAAGTACAAAGCCGCTGTTGTGGGACACTGCAGCATCTGTTTTAGCATGCCATTTTTATATTTAGAAGCAGCCTATCTCCACAGATCAAGCACAGCCGCCAAGTCACTCAGCGACCCCTTCCCGTCAGATCTCACAAGTCAGTGCCAGCTGACAGAGGGGGGACACGCTCCCCTCACCTTCCCGCAGCCCCCCACACCTCCGCAGCCCCGCGCCTCCTCTGTGGCACGCTGCAACCTGCCTGCCCCACACTGCCCAGCCTGGCACCTTGAACGCTGGTGTCCTGCCAACAGCTCAGCCCCTCCGACCTTGCTGCGATGGGGCTGCTTTTTCCTTTTTCTGGGTCACGCAGCGCGGTGTGTGTTTGTGCGCGCACTGCACGGCGTATGTAGGAGAAACCTTGCAATAAAATCAGGGGAGCCGCTGAAGCATGCACAGCTCTGACCTGCGCCATCAGACTGCTCAGTCTGTGTCCCCCGGCCACGTTTCTGAGCCAGTGCCCACAACTAGAAAATAGCGTGTGCAGAAAATGCCACAGCCAGCGTTTTCCATTAGGCAGCTGGAGCACTGCTCTGAGAAGGTCCAGCAAGCCTGCTGAATGGACCCAGAATGAGTGCAGTGTGCTCGCAATGTGTATATGGCACACGCGGCTTGTACAGGCAAGCAGGATTTGTAGCTCTTTTTTCCCCCTAAGAGCAGTCTGCTACTCAACTGTAAGCAGAATTGCTGTTTGCAGCGCAAGGCGGTGCTGTGTAACTCGATCAGGCAGAGCACGGCCAAGAAAAGCAGTGCAAAACAGAATAAAGACCCAACAGCAGCCCTCAAAGCAAAGGTCACAGCACTGGTGTTTGGAGAGCGGGAGGGGAACCAGATAAAAAAGCTCATCTTGGCTCTGTGCTGCCTGTTAAAAGGATGAAGGATGAAGGGTATGACGTCCTCCCTGGCTACAAGAAGCAGCATCTTCTCCATACCTCTACGTCCCCCACCATTTTTCAGCTTACACTGGGTGAGCACTGCAGTTTGCTGTCAGGACTGCGAGCGGACACCACTGTTTCTGGGCGATGCTATGCACAGACATGAACCTCAGCTAATTAGAAAAGTGAAATTTCAGCCCCGCAAGTGTTTACGATGGAGGGGAGGGGAAACACTCGCAGGTTTCTTCTTTGCTTCCAGCCACGAGAGCCAAGGAGTGCTTGCACGTGTGCAGGCAGGGGAGGGCGATGGGGCAGGCAGGGGAGACAAAACCAACGCGTGCGAGCTCCCAGAGTGGAGTGATCAGTTTTGGCAGCTACCCTGGGAAAAAGGCACAGTCAGCACTACAGAACATGCAGGAAAATCTTTAGCTGGCAAATGCAGATTTCTCTTATCCAGAGGCAGTGAAGAGTAGAAAAGACCCAGAGTTGCAGATAAGAGAGAAAACAGTGATGGGATCAAGCCAGCTCTGGAGACCAGTTAGTTCTACTTTCTCCTGGATATTGCCTTCTTCTTGGAAAGGGGGTTTTGAAGGAAAACAGAGCCTGGAAGAAACTGGAGCATCTTTATCTACAGACACAGCTTAGCAAATGCCACACACTTCTAATTTACATAGAATAAAACTGCCTTACCTGAGTAGTTTTCGCCCTCCTGCCTTGCATGCTGTTACTATGGCTAATCTGTGGGTTGGTGGCCCCTTCGGAAAGGCAGTGGGATTTCCTACAGGGCAGCGTATTGTAATTAGTGTAGGAAGGCGCATCCTCAGCGGTAACCGATACCAACTTATGGCTCCCGATATCTGGGATGTCGGACACTAAATTCCGGCAGTACCCTCCAAAGGCGTTTCGCGGGCCACCGTTGACGGTAGCGCTCGGGGTTTTGGGGGAATACAAGTCACTCATAGAGTTGGCACGCTGGCAGGGCGGGGGCTGCCGCCGGCCTCCATCCCCCGGGTGGCTTCGGCATCCTTCTCCTCAGCCAAACCCAGGATTTCCTCATTGCTCGTTAAATGCTCCTGGCTGAGGTCAGAAAGCGAAAACTCCAGGCTGTCCTCGCGCCAGATGTCGGCCGATTTGGAGCGCTTCTTCTTGAAGCTGGCCGTCTCCATGAAGTTTGTCCCATTGGCCGCGTACCGATGTGACCTCCCGTCGCCCTCTCCCAGGAAGGGCGGCTCGTCCCCGTAGAGCCTGCTCTCCTCCGAGTCGGGCATGCTCTGGACAGAGGCGGCGGTGAGGACGGTGCTGCTGTCCACGCTGGGGGTGACGGAGGAGTCGGTGTGGTAGGAAATGGGCCGCAGGCCCATGTCCACGCGGTCCACCCAGATGGGACTTCCGAAGTCCTCTAGGTTGCCCTCCTGGGCAAAGGGCTCCAGGCCGTTCTCCGCCAGGGACTGGGGGATGCTGGGGGTGCTACTGGAGCGGGTGCTCACTTCCGAGTTACGATGGATGATCTTTCCGGACGAAGCGTGCCGTGTCCGGCGAGAGGCTTTATTGGAGAGGCGCAGTGAGCGGGAAGTGTGCTTGCGGCCCAGGCTGGCGTGCTTGTCCCCGTAGAAGGCGTGCTCCACGCTCTGGCTCTCCGCATTTCCCATGGCGTCACAGTCTGCAAGGGCAGAGAGCAGGGACCGTTAAAGGCGGCAACCAAACATGCAGGCAAGACACACGGACACATCAGAACACCCAAAACAGCTTTTTTTTTTAAGCGAACCTGTGCCAAAACCTACACCACAGCTGCCACCAGGTCTCACAGGACGTGCTTTAATAGCAGCAACTAATCCCACAGAATTAATTAAAGAAGCCAGTGACCGTACCAGCAAACTTATAAACACAACTCAGTTAAATCGGTATGTAGGAAAAAACCAGACTATAGCTATGCTGGTGAACATGAAGAGTGTAGAAGAGGGAACCGCTGAATCATAGACTCACAGAATTATTTGGGTTGGAAGAGACCTTAAAGATCCAACTCCCTGCCATGGGCAGGGACACCTCCCACCAGACCAGGTTGCCCAAAGCCCCATCCAGCCTGGCTTTGAACACTTCCAGGGAGGGGGAATTATGAAGCTTGGTCTGAACTGGAGCCAGTTTACCACCAAAGTGCACTGGCAGTCTCAGCTCTGCACACTTGATTGGTAAAATCTGATGTAGTTGAAGATATCCCCATTCATTGCAGGAGGGTTGGATTAGACAACCTTTAAAGGTCCCTTCCAACAAAAACTATTCGTGATTCTATGACTCTTAGCATTAGCTTCTCCTTTGCAGTTCCAGCCAAGACCACAAACTCAAAAAAACCCAACAACTATTGTTTATCTGCATGTAATGAGATGCCAAAAAGTAGACTGATAAACACCTTTATCTGAGATTTCACTTTTTTTTTTTTTTTTTTTTTTTGCTAGGAGCTATGAGTTGAAGCACCAAATAGCAAAGCACAAATTCAACTGTTCGGCAGCAAGCTAATGATAGGTTTGATTTCTGGAACAAAACAACAGTGCAACATTAAGTAGGTACAGAAAGCCCCACACAAGAAAGCCATATTATGAAAAATAAATTAGCATGAGTGACTCAGACTCTACAAAAATAACCTTTTCTTCCCACTCACTCTGAAGCAGATAGCTAGATCCAAGCGCTTTGATCTAGCAAAGAGAAAACTGAGCTGGAATGCAGGGACTGGGTTTCTGTCCCCATCTCCATACCAAGCCTCCTGCATTATTCAGTTGCACGTGTCCCACTGTGAAACAGGTTTCCCATCCAGAAGATGGGAGTGATGATCTGGATTCAACCTTGGAAAGCACTTTTAGGTCTGTGATCTCACTCAACAAATGTCAGAAATATTTTATCAGTAGTATTGGCTCCTTTTAGCCAAAGAGCAAGAAGAAGAACAGGAAAAGTAAATGTTAAGTACACGGCCATTCAAAATTAAATAGGAGATCCTGAATTGCACACAAGACAATTATATCTAGATAAATAGTCCACAAATCTTAAACAGAAATTCCAAGACAAAACTTCCTTCTTTTGAGGTATTTCTATTAGTCTTGGATGAAAAAAATAGCTGCCTTGACAGTAAAATAATCTGGGGGTTTTCATTTCTTGAGGCAATTTCCTCCCCTTTAACAGGGTGCGCTGATGGGTATTGAGCCAGATGCTGACAGAATGAATGTGATCGTGTATTTTCCCTCGCTATCTAAACATACACTATCGCTGCTGCACAGAACTGAATCAGCCCTACATAAATTACACAGAAAGCAAGGAACCAGTTGTGCTAAACATAGGCACGCCACTTTTGCTGTAGGTTGCCCTGGGCACATACAGGGCAAGTAAACTGCTGCAGTGATACTTCTGACCACAGTCAGCGGACTCTGCTTCTCTGCTCTCAACCCAGCTAGGTAGGTTGTGTCTGAGGCTAAAAATCTGTTCAGTGCTGGAGCAACAGGTACCTCCATAAATATCTGGACATTTCTAACATAAATATAATCACATGTCAAGTAAATTCTATCAGGAAATACCCTGCACCTACTGAAATTAATGGCTTAACTCCCATTGACAGTCAGGAGACTTGGTTATCGTGCATTGTTTAGAAAAATAAATGCGCTGAACAGAGGGCAGGTTTTAATCTAAAAAAAAATGACAGCATTATAAATCTCTAGACAGGGTTTATTATTCCTTAAAGCTACAGCCCTTTGATATGGACCAGGCTGAAAAACAAATGTCAGCTAGCTTTTGCTTCTAAACCATCTTAAAGCACAAAAACTGCATTTTGTCTTCCACACTGATGTCTAAAACCAGACCTCAACACTCCCCATCTTGCAAAAGAAACCCTCTCGGGGTAATGCTTTTAGCTGCTTCAATTCTGAGATTCTTGCCAACCACGCTTTCATTCGACAGGATTTCCACCGGCTGCAAAGCCCATCAGAGCATGCAACCATTATATCCCCAGTCTCCAGCCACGCAGCTATCACTTAGTACTTATCTAAGGAGAAAGAGCAGTTTTAAAAGTCCTCTTGAAACCCCAAATGATTGAAGAGTGGCTCTTTACCTTCAGAAACCGAGCTGCCAAAGGGCAGGAGCATCCCCCCCGCACACCACACCTTGACGTAGTCTCTGTCAAAACTTCACCCAGCCAAAAAGTAACAGCACCACAAATGACTCGGCACAGAAAGGAGCAGCAGCTCAGGCTGTGCCCTGTGAGGAGATAAGGCTGCTAGAAAACACTCTCATGGAAGGAGGAAAGTCTTCTCTCCACAGACGGCGGCAGGAATGTTTACTGAGCGATTTCACACAATGAGAAGTATCTGCTAGATACTGGCAAGAAGTGTCAGACTTCAAAGTAAAGAGCTGTCCCTTTTGAATTCCATGGATTGGCACTTTAGGTGAGGACGCGTTTGCAAGTCCCGCAGACGGCTATCTATCGTTCCGGGAGATTAGCCGGTACCTCACTCCTGCACCCAGGATGGACGACTGGAGAGGCCTGACCCTAGAGCCACGGATTTCCCCGGCACGACATTGCAGGCTTGCACATTCTGCACGGTGGGAGCACTGGGGCCACAAGCAGGCCCAATGCAGCTGCAACAGCTGCAGCAGTGCAAGGCAGTGCCACCTCCACAGCCTGTCACCGTCCCTTGACAGATGCCAGGAGATGCAGGGCACAACAGTCTGGGCCCACCTTGAGTGAGGACAGTCAACCCCACAGGGTCAAGCTGAAGGTGGCTGCTTGTAGGGTGCCAGAGAGAAATGGCTCCCCCTGGAAAGGACCCCCTTTCTACCTTCTAACCCCCATTTTTGCCTCCCCTCTGCATTTCTGGCTGAGCACTTCCACCAGCTACCCTCAGCAAATTCAGGTGCTCGTGCAGCTGAAACCATTGAAACAGCATAAAACAAATACAGGAGGGAAAACAAACCCAGACTTTATTTATTACTTTATTTTTGCTGGACTGGTGAATTCAACCATCCAGAGGCAGCATAAGGGTGCCCATCTGGAGACACAGCAGGGCAGGGATGGGGCAGCATAGCTGCAGGGCAGAGGGGACAGCAAGTGGCGCCTCCCCCATCTTTTGGCAGCAGTGAGCTGTTAGGTCAGCTCAGACAGATGTGGAAAGGCAGCCCTGAAACATGTGAATTTGCACTGAAGCAGATGTCGGCAGCCTCAGCTTGCAAGAGCGGGTGCTGGGCAGGGGGGGAGAGCCCCAACGTCCCCCTCCCAGGGGCAGCGGCAGACACCCTGGGGCAGAAATGTCTTTAACTGCTCCAGCTACGTCTGCCAGATGCTGCCTGTCTACAGCTTAACTGAATTTAGCACACTCAATGAAAAAAATCTGTATCAAATTAAGAAAATGAGTAATGTTAATGGGAGTTGCACGCAAATACTGCGAAGACAAAGGCTCCCCTTGTTAGCTCCCCTGCTGAATCCAAAGGTGACCATTAAAGACCTATCAAGGTACCACCAGGATACAGCATAAATCAAGTGTGACATGTCTTGATGCTTTAGACAGGTCTGTCGCACTCAGCCAAGGATTGCGACGTGTCAGAAATCTGTTCTGAATTATTCTCCGAAGCGAGCAGAGATTAGCGCGCACAGACCATGCATCGCAAGCAGAACCAGTTGGAAATTTTTCAGCAGAAAATGTTGATTCATCAAACCCCAAACTTATTGTGGGAAAAGACTGGTTTTGATGAAAGGCTCCTCTGCTACAAAGGGGGGAGATTTGAAAACCGAGGCAGGGAGACAGGCACGTCTCCCGGACGAGGCACCAGCTCAGTGACTCAGTTGCTTGCGGAAGACACAGCAGATCCAGATTCATATCTGCAGCCCAAATCAGGCAAACGAGGGGTGGCAACCTGTTCCTCCATTCCTTGAGAAAGCCCTCTCTCCCCAAAGATTTGCTCCTTCCTGGTTCAGAGCAAGGAAAGTCAAAACTGTGGAAGTCTTCAGGAAGGGGGCAGGAAAGTCACCTTTTAGCCAGCTTGCACATCCAGAGACAGTACAGGGGTTTGAGTTGTTTGGTGGTTTTTTTTAAACCAGAACTTAAGACTGACATAAACATTAGGATATCAGCAGGGAGAACACAAATTCTGCAGGAAAGCTTTGGAAAAACAGTGTTCCCTCCCGTCAACTACCCTAGACAGACAGACTGAACTCTAGCTGAACTGCTGAGGTTTTGCTGGATGAGTCTTATATAAAATGGTTACACATAAAGATGATCGCATTCTCGATGACCACTGATGATGGCCCTTATCAAAGAACATACTTTTCTTTGAAAACAGTAATTTTCCTTTCTTTTCTCTTTCCCCTCATATTAAATATTTCTTAAAACAATTATAGAACCAAAATACTCATTTCAACCAAACCTAAGTTACTAACTCTCAAACTTGCAAAAATGTTGAGCCTTTAGATTTCAGAAGAAAATCTGAAATATATTAACTTTCCAACCAAATTTGAAGCACCTCGCAAGACAACAGATTGCAAATTTAAAATTAGATTCTAGTGGGAGGCCCTGGTGACAAATCCGTATTTTTCTTCTGGAGCAGAGCTTGAAGGCTGTGAGAACCAGAACAATGATTAAATCCACAGCAAGCAACGAGCCTACAGAAATAAACTTTT